GGTTGCTGTGAGCTGTAATGCCATGGCACTCTACCCAGGGGGACAGCTTGAGGCTCTGTCTCAAAAAATAAATAAATAAATAAATAAATAAAAATAGAAAAACTAGCCAGGCATTGTGGTGGGCACCTATAGTCCCAGCTACATGGAAGGCTGAGGCAAGAAGATCACTTGAGCCCAAGAGTTTGAGGTTGATGTGAGCTATGATGCCCTGGCACTCTACTGAGGGCAACAAAATAAGACCCTATCTCAACCCCCACCCCCAAAACCAATGCTCTCATACTCTTGTCCTTCACACATTATTGCTTACACTAAATTCTTCAGCATTAAATGCATTTCACTGTTTTCCTTATTTTGTTCTGCTAGGCTTATAAACAATTACCTTGCAGAAATAATGGCAGGTTACAGGTTTGTAGTGTTAGCAATGTAGTGTGGCCGTGAACCAGGCAGCTCGTGTTTCTGGTTCTGCTAATTATTCTCCATGTCTTAGTTTCCTTATTTGTTAAATGGAGATGATAACTAATATGACCACATATAATTATTTACCATTCAAACCGGGATACGTTTGAGAGTCAAAAGAAGCATTTAATTTTAGATGAGCTTAAACCAGGACTGCCCCCAGGCAAACTAGGATGGGACACCCCAGTAATAAAATTACTCAGAAGGTTGTTCTGAGTATTGAATAATTGTACATAAAGTGCACAGGAAAGTGACACAGAGTAGGTGATTGAGGTGGGTTTAATAATCAGTAGCAAATGGGTATGTTTTAATGATTCTCAGAACAGAGAACTGAATGAAATGCAACACAGATGAATAAATACACTATCATGAGTCATGATAGTGTTCAGATTCTCAGAACAGAGAACTGAATGAAATGAAACACAGATGAATAAACACACTATCATGAGTCATGAGTCCAGTGCCTCGAGAACACACGTGACCTAAAACGTCAGTGTTTATAACTCATATCTAAAATTTATCATGATGTTTGTAATGTGTAGCATTCATTCTTTGATTCAACAAACACAGAATATCTTTCACACCAAATACTCTTTCTGGGCGATTAGAATACCTCAGTGAACAGGGGACACAAAGCGTGAAGTTCTATCATTGAACTGGTGCAATGGAGTGAATATTATATTGGTTACATATTCATATTTCAAATCGTGTTCTGTGCTAATGTGAAACAGTTGTTTATTTAGCATTTTGAGGGTTTTTAAAGAAAACATAGAGTAGGTGCCACTGCAGGGGCTTCCTTCTCTATAGAAGCCGTTTTAATCCAGCATGCATCTGCATCTCCTGGAACAGGAAACTAGACACAAGGGTGAGTTTGGGTTGAAACCATATTAAGTTTTGAATTTTTGATAAGGTCTTCTGTGTATACAAAGAGTGTAGAGGCCAGGTGTGGTGGCTCATGTCTATTATCCTAGCAATCTGGGAGACCGAGGCAGGAGGATTGCTTTTGCTCAGGAGTTCAAGACTAGCCTGAGCAAGAGCAAGACCCTGTCTCTACTAAAAATAGAAAAATTAGCTGGGCACAGTGGTGGGCACCTATAGTCCCAGCAACTCAGGAGTCTGAGGCAGGAGGATCCCTTGAACCTAGGAATTTGAGGTTGCTGTGAGATAGGCTGACCATGGTACTCTAGCCTGGGCAACGCAGTGAGACTATCTCACAAAAAAAAATAAATAAAAATAAGAGTTTCTAGATTTTTAAAAATAGAGTCTGATGTAGAAGAGATTTTCAGGATTGATGGCTTAAGGTATTTTTAATGCCAGCTCTAATTTCAGGCTTCAGAGAGGTAAAATAAAAAGGGAACCCAACCAGGAATGAAGTGTTTTCATATGCTAGTATATATTTTTGGTAATTTTTAAAAAAATGTTTCCTTTTTGAAAAATAAGACTTATCTCTGAGTTGGCACAAAATTACCTTGATATCATCTCTGGTTTCTAATATCTTAAATCATCCTTAAAATGATATCAGAAATATTATAAAAACTAAATAAATCAGCTCATGACTTAGGGCTTGACAAAAATGCCTTCTCTGCCAGGCTTAAGGTTGATGGGCTTCACACACACAAAACTTTTGAAATCTGAATCATCAAATCCTGTTCTCAAATTTTCAGTAAGGAAGATAAGATACAGAAACACGGAATAGTTTTCCAGAAGTCACACAACTTATTTTTAGCAAAGCAAACACTAAATCTGCTTTTTCCTTATGGGTCATCTATTTCTCTGCTTCCCTGAAGTCCCAGTGCAGCCAACCACAAATTATATAGAGAACTGAATTTAAAAAATAACTAGATTGGCTCGGTGCCTGTAGCTCAGCAGCTAGGGCGCTGGCCACATGCACCAGAGCTGGCAGGTTCAAATCCAGCCTGGGCCTGCCAAACAATGACAACTACAACCAAAAAATAGCTGGGCGTTGCAGCAGATGCCTGTAGTCCCAGCTACTTGAGAGACTCAGGCAAGAGAATCACTTCAGCCCAAGAGTTTGAGGTTGCTGTGAGCTGTGACACTACAGCACTCTACCAAAGGCAACATAGTGAGACTCTGTCTCAAGAAAAAAAAATTAGCTAGATGCCTAAATTGTGCCATTTTATAAATAATAACTTGGTTTATATGCATTGCAAAAGACAGTAGGGTTATACACTAAAGTTTTTTCAGGACATTAACTCAAGTAGAAAAATGACTACTTATACTTGCTTTCTATTATAATATTAGTAATTAGAAAACATATTTGATGTTCTTTTGCTTTTATACATTTGCCCATTCACTTATTTGCTTTTTTACTTTAAAGACCTGAGACGGATAATTGGATAAGATTGCCCGGGTGTCAACATGTCACAGGTACCGAATGCAGCTTTTCTTTACCCGTGCTGAATGTTTTTAAAGAAATTAAATTTCGTGTAAGAGCAGAACAAGGAATCACTTCTTCATGGTGTGAGGTTATTTCAATTACACCATTTGCAAAAGGTAAGAAAAAAATTACTAGCTGAATTATATTCTTTAATAATTATTACCAGAACAGTTCATCTTCCAAGCCCGTTCATTGCATGATATAAAATCTTACCTCCTAAAAAAAAAAAAAAAAAAAACCCAGAATGATTCTCCTAAACTTGTATGTTCCTCCTATAATGGCCCCATTTTTCCACTTTCCCATAATAGTGGTTCTCAAAGAGTGGTCCCCAAGATCCTTAGACAAAACTATGTTCATAATAATTCTGAGATTTGGCTCGACACCTGTGGCTCAAGCGGCTCAGGTGCCAGCCACATACACCTAAGTTGATGGGTTCAAATCCAGCCCAGGCCCTCCATACAACAATGATGGCTGCAACCAAAAAATAACCAGGTGTTATGGTGGGCACCTATAGTCCCAGCTACTTGGGAGGTGGAGGCAGGAGACTCACTTGAGCCCAGGAGTTGGAGGTTGCTATGAGCTGTGATGCCACAGCACTCTACCCAGGGCAACAGCTTGAGGCTCTGTTAAAAAAAATAATAATAATTCTGGGATTTGTTTACCTTTTTTATTTTTATTCTCTCATATATATGCAGTACAGTTTTCCAAAGGAGGCTGTTTGATGGATGATGTGATGATGTGGTGACTGATGTAAACCAGAAGTAGATATGAGAGCCATCTGTCTTCATTCTTAATCTATTCATTAGAGAGATTTTTAAAAAATTTATAATAGCACTATTCTTCTAAGATTTTTGTTGTTTGGAAATTTTTTTTTTTTTTTTGAGACAGAGTCTCACTTTGTCATCCTTAGTAGAGTGCTGTGGCATCATAGCTCACAGCAACCTCCAACACTAGGGCTCAAGCTGTTCTTTTGCCTCAGCCTCCCAATTGGCTGGGACTACAGGTGCCCGCCACAAGGTCCGGCTATTTTTTTAGAGACAGGGTCTCACTCTGGCTCAAGCTGGTCTCGAACCTGTGAGCTCAGGCACCACCTGCCTCAGCTTCCCAGAGTGCTAGGGAAAATATATTTCTTATAACAAATTCATGTTACCATGTAATGAGTTTATCATTGTTTTTTCTTTTCCTGAAAACCTTATTGTTGGGGATTCATGGAGGGTACAAGATGTGATGCACTCTGAGACCCCACCCCCCTCCCTCCTTCCCTCTCACTGCTCTTCTTTTCTCCCACTCCCCTCCCTTCTTGTCTCTCTCTCTGCTCTCCCCTTTCCCCACCCCCACCATGTCATTAATTATCATTAATGGTCGTCAAATCAAGATCGAATACATAGGATTCATTCTTCTCCATTCTTGTGATGCTTTACTAAGAATAATGTGTTCCACTTCCATCCAGGTTAATACAAATTCTGTAAAGTCTCCATCTTTTTGAATGGCTGAATAGTATTCTATGGCATATATGTACCACAGCTTGTTAATCCATTCCTGGGTTGGGGGGCATTTAGGCTGTTTCCACATTTTGAAGTAATAGCATTAACAACATCATTGTTATTTTTTAATGAATTAATTAAAATACGTGAATTTTTTTTTAATTTTATTGTTTTTAATATTTAAAAATATTAAATATTATAATTTAATATGCTAACTATTAAAAGATATAACTCATGTAAACAAAAGCTCTCTGGGAGTCTCAACAATGTCTTTAGGAATATAAAGGGATCCTAACACCAAAACATTTGAGAACCGCCGCCCTTTACCAAAACTCAAAACAGAATTATGAGTAATCTTTTCTGTACTTCTTTTTTTCCCATTTCCTCTTTAACCCTCTCCATTCCAACATTGTTCCTCATCACTGAACTAAAGCCACTCTTCTCAAGGTCACCAGCAGCCTCCACAATGCTAAGGGAAGTCCCAGTCCCCTGCAGCTGTGTCGTACAGGTCTGGCATCATTCCCTTTTTCTAAACACTTCCTTTACTGAAGTGCTCTCTAGGGCAGTGCTCTTTCCTGGTTCTCCTCCTGCTTACTGGCCTCCTCCTTCTTACTCCAATGCCAATTTCTCCCCCTCATCTGCCAGACTTTTCTGTGTCACAGTGCCGCAGGGCTGTCATTGAACCTCTCCTCATTCTGTACTCAGTCCACTGGTAACCTATGGCTTTCCTTTCTTGACTCCCAGAAGTGACAAGCTCGTAGTAAATGCTCAGAACTATCTGTTAAGTGATGTTTGCATTGTGTTGATAAAGTTACATAGTAATTGTTTTTCTTATTACAGCTCAGATTGGTCCTCCAGGAGTACATTTAGAAGCTGAAGATACAGCAATAATAGTAAAGCTCTCTTCTCCTGGAACAAAAGATAGTATCATATGGGCTTTGGAGGGTTCAAGCTTTCTATATAGCTTAGTTATCTGGAAAAATTCTTCAAGTGTAGAGGTAAGCACTGTTTTTATCTTTGATGTAAGAGAAAAATGAGATGAATTAATCCTAAAGTTTAAAGTACTGGCTTCTATTTTTTTTTAATTTCAGAGAAGGACTAAAAATGTTTATCCCAGAGATACAATTTATGAACTCTCACCAGAGACTACTTATTGTTTAAAAGTTAAGGCAGAAATACTTGTGCTACGGAAAGTTGGGGTCTACAGTCCGGTGTATTGTATAAATACCACAGGTAAGGATGTTTTGCTTTAGATAATAACTATATATGCAGATTAGCAATATATCAATGTTGACAGTATTCCCATAGTGCTGAAGTCTATATGGTGGTTCAATAGATATTAAAACAAGAGCAGAGGGTGGCGCCTATAGCTCATTGACAAGGGCACCGGCCACATACACCTAGGGTGGTGGGTTCAAACCCAGCCCGGGCCTGCTAACCAACAATGACAACTCCAAAAAAAAAATAGCCAAGCTGTGACAGGCACCTGTAGTCCCAGCTACTTGGGAGACTGAGGCAAGAGAATCACTTAAACCCAAGAATTGGAGGTTGCTGTGAGTTGTGATGCCACAGCACTCTACCCAGGGTAACAGCTTAAGACTCTGTCAAAAAAAAAAAGAGAGAGCAGAATGACAGCGTTTACATACAGCAAAAAAATGTTATTTGGGATTTTTGTCTCAAGTAAATATCAATGAAAATTCTACTTAAAAGTCCATCTACTGTATAATGACAAAAACTGTTTTATTTGTTCAGAATCCACAAAAAAGGGGAAGTAGCTAGACTGAGTTCTGCAAGGATGGAAAAAGGGGGCGTTGTTGCTAATAGATTGGTCAGTCTTTCAAAAAGTATGCCTTTGTGAGTGAAATATTAAAATACAAAATCATCCTGATTTATTTAGTTAGTGACATCTTGCCAGTAATTAAGGGGAAGGGTAGAAACTGGGCTTTGGTTATTATTTTAACTATAAACTTAATGTACTTTATTTTTAATATCAAATAAAAGTGTTTAAAGTCCTTCTACCCCAGTAGCCCAAATTCTGTTGACCAGAGATAAGCATTGCTTAGCAGTTTGCCTAGATCCTTTCTTTTTCGGGGCTTATATACACAGACCTTTAGGGGTTTTTTGGTTTTGTTTTGGGGGGTAGGGTTGAGACAGAGTTTCACTTTGTTGCCCTTAATAGAGTGCTCTGGCATCATAACTTCCAGCCACCTCAACCTTTTGGGCTCAAGTGATCCTCTTGCCTCAGCCTCCCAAGTGGTTGGGACTACAGGTGCTAGCCACAACACCTGCCTATTTTTAGAGATGAGGTCTCGCTCTGGCTCAGTCTGTTCTTGAACTTGTGAGCTCAGGCACCTGCCTTGGCCTCCCGGGGTGCTGGGATTACAGGTGTGAGCCACCCTACTTGGCCTATTTTGGTTTTTTAAATGAAAAAATAAGCTTCTGTTCAAGGTATTTTGCGTCTTGTTTGTTTAAAGCAATATATTGAGACTATCATTCTGTACCAGTACGTGCAGATGTCATGCATATTTTTAAATACATTTACATTGATTAGAGTATTTTATCATTATAAGGTAAGAGTTAAAGAAGTTATATATACTATTATATATTCATCCCTATGAATATAAATGTATCTCCTTGCCCATGCTGTTAAGAATTCTTGACATTACCTTATGATACTTAAAGTAACACTGTATGCTTTTTATGTATTCTTTGGCTTCCAGTTGAAAATAAAATTCCTCGACCAGAAAATTTAGACGTCAGTGTTAAAAATCAGAGATATGTTCTTAAATGGGATCATGCATTTGCAAACGTGACCTTTCGAGTTCAGTGGCTCCAGTAAGTTCTATTCCATAAATGCCCTTTTGCCTCGTTTGTTGTGGTTATGCTTCTTCTCGCTGTACTTCAGCCACCTGCAGCCTTTTGCACACAGAGTGACTGACTGAAATGAAAGGTGGGTGTGGCCTACTGGAAAATCGGGACATTTACCTGTAGCCTCAGCTCTGACAGTAAATACCTGGATGATATTGAGCTAATCACTTAACCTCTGGGGGCCTTAGTTTCTCTGCTTGTTTTAAAGTGTATTCTGATATCTAGAGTTCTTACTGGCTCCTTTTTCAAAAAGATGTGACTCTAGTTGCGTATTCTTTTTTCTCATTGCATGTTTTATTCCCTTAATCCGGAACACTTGACCCTTGAACCTAATCTTTCCCTCAGCACTCAACTTCTTCCACAAGTCCCTGTAATGACCTCATTCCCTTCACTCTGACTTGTCTAATTCAAAAAGTTAACCTCTCATTTTCTTTATTATTTTAGTGGTTTTGACAACATTTTTTAGTGGTTACTTTAATGGGTAGTTAAAGAAATTTGGAGAGAACTGTGTTCTATGTGGTTGAGTGCAGACTAGCCAAATAGGAATGAAATCCAGACACCAACACACATGAAAGAGAACAGCATATATTAATAGTTTATATTGACTAGAAAACTGGCTCGGCGCCTGTGGCTCAAGCGGCTAAGGCACCAGCCACATACACCTAAGGTGGCGGGTTCGAATCCCCAGCCCGGGCCCGCCAAACAACGATG